TAGGGAAATACTCTCCTATCTTTCCACAGCCCCAAGATGCTACATGTCCTTGTAAATCCTGCTTGTTCAGATCAAGCCAGTTCTGTCTGTCTGAAAGAGGAAGGCTTGTCTAGTGGTTAGGGTACTTTCCCTTGGGTAAAACCTGGGTTCAGCACTGTGTTGAAGTCCAATTTCTTGTGGCACTTTGGGTAATTCACTTAGGACCGGTCCACAAAAGTATTTAGGCACCTAACTCCTATTGATTTGTGTGCATCTAGGCCTTGGTTCCCTGTCCCTCAGTTCCTCCTCTCTAAAAAGGAAATAATATTGCTTTGCAACCTCACAGAGGGGTGTGTTGGGCCAATAATTAGTTTTTTTAATAGCTGGGCATGTTCAGATAACGATGATGAAGGCCATGTAAGTAATTTGGACTGCAGATGACATAGCTTCCTGCAATAAAACTGTCCCAGAAACTAGGCTGTAGTTTATCCCGGTATCCACCAGGTGTCACTACACCTTAGTCTACTGCTCTCACTTCTCCACTGTTCTTGGGGGGGGTTGCTTTTAATATATATATATGTTTTGTTCTTTCTCCAAATAAAACCCACCACTGTGTTTTGAATATTGTTCTGATGAACTGATTATAAACTTATTAAGATACAGGAGAATGTGCTTGAACTCAAACTTTGCTTATTGGTTAACCATTCCTGTGAGAGTTCAAAGTTGTTAATTTTATCGTGACTTTTCATTTTGGCAGGTTATTTATTGTTCCTCTCGTATTATGTTAGAATCTTAGTTTCCTTGTTTTGAAAGTTTACAGTTCTCATGATTGCAAAGAAGAGCTTGAAAACATAGAACCTAAAGGCTCCAAAACAGCCATGCAAATAGAAAAATGCAAAAGATTGTTTATCTCATGACTTCAGATAAAATCTCATTATTTTAAGAGGCCAGTCACATGCTTTTAAAACTTTGTGTTAGACAATCCTAAAGAGTTTCAGACCAAATGCTAATTTTGTTGTAAGTCAGGAACTGCAAACCTATGCAAACAAGTCTGGTACAAAATTAACAAATTCAGTTTAAACTACATAAAGAAACAAATTATGTCATTTCTAAAGATGTAAAAATCCAGTATAATTGGAAGTGGAATTTGACCCCAAATCTATGACAGTTCTTTTTGTAATCTTATATTGTGTTCAAAATAACCATTTATACTGAAATTCCAATAAAACCTAAAGTCTACAAAATTTAAGTAAAAAAGTTTTTCATCATGGTTCCAAGGCTTTGGAACAGAATAGCCATTCTGGTCAATTATACTTCAGGGGCATTCAACAATCTTTTATGGGGGGTTGTGTTATCCTAATTTGATGCATTCACCAAACAAAAAGCAAACAAGAATTTTGATTCAGCCATCAAAATTGCTAGGGATACTTTGCACCCTTTTATAGAAATGGTATAATGACTCCCTGGGATCATTTGTTGGAGGGGTTTTTTTTGTGTTTTGTTTTGGTTTATTGGCACCGGTGTATATACTGATGCAATGTATTAATTCTTTTAAAAAAACAGGCCAGCCTGTTTCTTCTGTATCAAGGGAGAGTTAAAGTGAACTACAGGTTTTTTTTGCTAGATTAATTGTGCTGTTAAATATCTACCTAAGAATGAAACGATGCTGAATCAAACCCTGTGCTCTTGCATAATATTCTGTAACAAATATGTGTTCAGAAACAATAGGTTTGCTGTGGATAGACACTCCTGTATTAGCACTCCTGCAAATCATGGATGTTTGGGAACAAGTGTCATCTAACCATGCAATGGTCTGATATGGATGGGTAATGGCATTAGATATGGAGCACACCTGCTGAAGGTGATGCAGCTATACTGCACTCTAATGGCTGACCCATAGAAAAAGGGGGCTGGTCTAAGCTCTTTAGTGCTTGGCCCAGGGTCCAAAACACATAAGCCAATACTGACTTTTCTCTTGACTTCAGTAGACGTTGGATCAGGCCATATTAGGGGTTAGTGGATTTTCCAGAGGTAATAGCTGAGAGCGACATGATGACCACAGAGTCAGTTATTCGAACCATAGTTCCATTACAATTGAGAACATGTTCAGTTCAACAGTCTCTGACATATAAAATATTATTAGAAGAACGTCTCTAAAGAGAGTTACTAGTCTCCAAGAGTACGTTAGTCAGAGGTGTACATTTTATTGCAAACAAGCAAAAGCCAATACTTAATACAGCCTTTTATTTGGCTTCAGGTTTTCTATCCTCTAAGGGAGCTGAAGTTTCACTTGATTTGTCTGGCTTAGTACACTTGTTTGTGGGTTTACTGGGTGTTTCTTATGAACAGGGATCCTGGTTTCTCTGATTTAAAAAAAATCCCTAATTTTCAGTTTAAAAAAAAGTAACCCCAAATCCACATTTTTCCATGATTTAAATGAAACACCACTAATATATAGATATTTAGGTGTTTCATTTAAATCATGGAAAAATGTGGATTTGGGGTTACTTTTTTTTAAACTGAAAATTAGGGATTTTTTTTTTAAATTAGAGAAAACCAGGATCCCTGCTTATGAAGTATCACATTTTAAAACTAAATAACATGGAATGCATCCTCTAGTAGGGAAGTTCCCACGCTCTATCCTGTAGGCCCTTGGTGGCTTGTAGAACACTTCCTGGTTGTGCATATAGGGCTAGCTGGTCACGCTGTGCTGTGTCTCCTTGCTTTAAGCCACTTGATTCCATTAAAGGAAACTAGGAATATATTTCATATCCTTCTAATGGTACAGTCTCTGAATGCAGTTACCATAACTGACTATGGCCTACCATGGACAAAATGTACCCTGGGCAGTCATCTCACCCTCCCCTAAACTCCCTTCCTCCCTGTACCTTCTGGCTTGCAGGTGGAAGAACAGCAGCAAGCAGCAGCCGGTGCAAGGTGTTCTGGGAATCATAGTTTTCTAGAGCAGTACCAGGGGGAAACTTTCACTCTGGTTTGGCCACTGAAGCGCATGTCCAGAGGGCAAAAAAATGCTGATTTAATTGGCTAAAAAAACGAGCTCAGTTCTTCCCCCAACAGCACTGAACTCTACTGCTGCCCTGCCAAACTGTGATTCCCAGAATGCCATGTGCTTCATTACACACATCGTCTGTGCCAGCGCCTTCCTGAAGCCCTCTGTAAAGGTAACAGTGAAGCAGGTAGTAGCCCTGGGGGAAAGTGGAGTCCCTCTGCCCCATCCTTCTGGCTCCCCCTTAGGCAGTACCCAGGGCATGTGCTCCTTTGCCCACCCCATGTGACACTACTGTAACTGACACAAAGGTGGCATGCAGTCATGAATAGGGAAGGAAGTGGTCTGTGTAATTGTGAATAGGAGGGGAAGTTCTTCATCCAGCCATTGCTCTGTTCAAAAGAGATGGTCCAGCCCCTAAACACATTTTAACCCCCTGCTTAAAACTGCATGCAGTCACCCAAGTCAGTTTTCACTGGTAGATCTTTGGACACTGAAGTGATTTAAAAAAAAAGAGGAAAAATTTAGTATGAGTCAGCTGGATTAGTTACCTATACTAAAATCAATTCATAGTTCCAGCTTTGCTCCCCATTTCATTAATGTTTATCAGCCGTCATACAGTGTTAGGTATTTCTTGGCAATGACAAAGAAAAGTTTTCATATCCTACCCTGCATTACTTGTCCTACACTTCCCTAATTATAATAAAGACCTGACATGCCTAAGACCTACACTTACGGTAGCCTGTTTAAGATGATAATATGCTAGGCTCTTGCAGTCACTGCTCACCCATAGTTCTGCCCCCAAAATGGAGGGGGAGCATTATACATTTTCTGAGACACTGTTTCTCTCTTGGTGATCATTGTATTCTGCACTTTGAATATGCCCTCTTTCTTCCTCCTCCTCCTCCTCCTCACTTTTCACACGCTTTCCATTCAGTTGCTTATCTCTATTTTGCTCTCGTTTTGGTCCCTTCTTTTTAAATTTTTGTTCCTACAAGAGAAGAGAGAGGAATCATTAAAAATCCATCTAAAGTAAACAAAATGTCAGCATTTGAAGTTTCTTATATTTTCTAATTATTTTAGAAGCAATTCCTCAGCCAAGCACAACCCATGGTTAGAATGGGATATAGCAGAGTTCTTGAGGGTCAGAGAAAGCAAAAATCCTTTTCTGGAGCAAGGAAAGGGAACTTATTCTGCCCTTTGGAATTGGATTGGCTCTCATAAATGGAGTAAGTTCCACCAATGGATGATACAGCCCACCGATGAGGGAATTTGCTTGGATCAGTAAAAATGTCCCTAATATAAAAGGGGAGGAAGCCTCCCTCTTGCCCAACACACACCGTCTTTGGTGACATTGATATATGCTTCAACAGAAAGATCTGAGCACTCATAAAATGGGAAGGAGAGGAAGGTCTGACCAAAAAAAAGCAAAAATTATCCTTTATTAAAGAGGGATCTGGGTTCAACATCTGTGTGTGCATTGTGGAATGGACTGATAGCACAACTAATTATAAATGCTGCCTGATACTTCCCAAGCCCACTTTTTGTTATTGCATATAATTTTACCAGGCTTTGACTATTTGGACTGAAATAGTTCATGCTGGGGATGTACCAGTTAGTCTGACTCTATGGAAATCCCAGAAATCTGGGACATCATCTGGGAAATCTGGAACACTGCCCTGCTGCCACTGCTGCGCTCTCACAAGTCATAGAATCATAGGAAATTAGGCTTGGAAGAGATCTCAGGACGATATTTAATCCAACATCCTGCTTAAACAGGACCACCCCCAGCTATATCATTTCAGGTGAGGCTTTGTCTAGCTGGGTCTTAAAAACCTCCAAGGATGGAGATTCCACAACCTCCCTGGATTACCTGTTCTAGTGTTTTACTATGCTCCACATGTGAAAGTTTTTCCTAATATCTAACCTAAACTTCCCTTGCTGCAATTTGAGACCGTTGCAGCAAGCAAACCGTTGCTCCTTGTTCTGTTTGACAACAGTTTAGCTCCATCCTCTTTCGGCATGGGCAACTGGTACCTCCTGAGTCGGGGAGGCACTTGCTGACTAGGGGAGAGGGTTCTCCCCGCGGCTGATCATGGGATGATCGCATCGACCCGGAAGTGCCAGCGGCACTTCTCCTGGCACCCCCACTGCTCAGCCAGTGCTCTCAGGGGGGCACCAGCTCTCCCACCTGCCCCCCCGCCCATCACCTAAGCGGAAACGCTGGCTGTCCGGGGGTGCACATGCACTCCTGTGTACCCCTTACACACCTCCTGTGCATCGCCACTGTCTTTTGAACCTCACTTCAGGTAGTTGAAGGCTGCTATTAAATCCCCCCTCAGTCTTCTCTTCTCCAAACTAAATAAGCCCAGTTCCTCAGTGTCTCCTCGTAAATCATATCCCCAGCCCCCTCACTATTTTTGTTTCCCTCCTTTGGGCTCTCTCCAATTTGTCCATATTCTTTCTATAGTGGGGGGCCCAAACTATACACAGTACTCCAGGGTAGTCCTAGGCCTAGCGAGTTGCCTTTTCCTGTCTTCAGAAAAAGTCACCCAGACTGAGCTGAACTATACACCTCTGAAGATCTCATTTTACACATGCTTAGTAGTTACTACACCTCAATTCTGAACAGGTGCCTATACACATGCTCGGGGGGGGGGGGAGGATGTTAATTAGAGTGGTTCCCAGAGAGACACTCTAATTAAAATGCCATACCTTCATGTGTATTAGGCCCCCATGCATTTAAAAATGACTGTGGACCACTTTAACTAAAGCTCATTTGATAAGCTTTCGTTAAAGCACCCCAGTGGCCATTTTTAAACCTGTAGGGGGTTATACACATGACACTGCAGTGACGCTAGGCACCTACTGGGCACGTCTACATGTGCATTAATGCACCTTTTCTAATGTGCACTAAATTTAGCACCTCCAATGTGAGGTACTAAATTAATGCCCATTAGGCTGCCCTAATGTGCAGTAGCACATATGCATGGTTTTTAAGTGACACTTAATGCACAGACTATTTTACTATATATTAGCATAATGTATAGCTATGCATATGCTATATGTCTGTATAGCTAGAATGTATAGCTATGCATAAAAAATTAGCATAGGTCTTTTACTTGATGCTTTAATGCTCAATGAAGTAGTCTACTGTTCATTAAAGCACACATGTAAACACACACACTCAGATCCGTTTCTTTAATATTGTTTGTTGCTGATTTACAACTGTGCATTTTGGAAAGAGAACAAGATTCTGATTATTCTGAATAACAAATGTTTTGTGGAAATCAACCATGATTCTTGTGATGCCAAAATATTAAATTATTTTATACTTTTTAAAAAAAAGTTGCTGTAGTATTTAGCTTTTTCTGTAGTGGCACCATTCATCAAGTGCATCACAGGGTGTTATTTAATCAGTGGCCAAGTACTACAGTTCCTCCAGTTCCCTAAGAAAGTCTGAAAAGCCCTGTGGGATTCATTTGATGGAAGGTGCTGTATAAATGTAAGATCATTAACTACATAACTGTCTGCTAGTTCTAATTACTAGCACAAAGATACAGCAAAATTCACAAAGTGGATAGGTCTAATCTGCAGTTAAGAAGAAGAAAAAAGCCCCAGAAGTCCAGGGCTACCTTTTGGTTGTGTGATTTATACCAGCCAGGAGGATATCTTGCAATGCTGATCATGTATTTCTCAGCTCTTTGCCAATCTTCATGCCACCTCTGAACTTGATACTGAGGCTCAGACTTCGTAATCCTATCCAGAATGGCACGGTTTTCCTTGCTCACTCTCAGCAGTTCCTTCTCTCGTTTTTCCCTGTTTAAACTAGAAAACACACAAACAAAATCAATCCCAGTCACAGATATACTTAAAGAATGCGTAGGTCAAAGCTGCAACCTCAGTGTCTGAATCCACTGTAAATCTTCTGGCCGGAAATCACAAAAACTTTTATGTGTCTTCTAGGAGGATTCTCCTCTTCTTGCTTTATACCATTGGTGCCCAACCATTTGGCTTTGAGGGACAGATGAGTGGTGCGGAGTTGGTCCACAGGCTGGATATGGTTTGTGGGTCTGATCTGACACACAGAGCCAGGCTGGTGCATGGCCCCGATCCCAGATACTGGATCACACTCACAGCCCGGGCCCCATGCACTGGGTCAGGCCTCCACTCTTCACTGGATCATGACCATTGCCCTGTCCCTGCTTTAGACCCCCCATGCCCATGATCCCAGCCCTGCACATAAGGTCATGTCATCTGGCCTACAGGGCTTGGACATTTGGCAGTGGAGGAGACAAATTGTTAATTACCACCATTCCCCCACCACTAAATTTCCAGACCCATGGGAAGCGCTGCAGGCTGGATACCATGGCTCTGTGGGCCAAATTTGGCCCACAAGATGGAGTTTGAACACCCTATTTGTATACTAACCAACCTTTAGAAATCTGCCCTCTGTTTGTCTGAAAGAGATGAGTTTCATTTAATGAAACATTGCACCCTACCTTCAAAAATAGTCTCTCTTCAGGAATGCTATAAAGATTCTTATGTAATAAAGGGCTTAGTTCGTCTGTCTGTCTGTCCATAATGCTCTTGGAGCACTCTGATTGGTTAATGAAACAGCCAGAGTGCAGAGTGCCACCATGATAGCAGGGATGGAGGGGATGGTGCAGGGGGGTGGGGGGTGAGGCCAGTGGTGCTGGCCTCGCTCACCTCACTCCCCCCACTCCATCCCTGCTATCATGGGGGTGCACCATTGCCTCTGAGGAGCAGGGCAGGGTGGGGGTGAAGCCAGCAGCATTGGAGACGGCGGCGGTGCAGGATGCTGGTGGAGGGGGATGGAGGAGATGGTGGGGCAAGCTTCCCCCTGCCCCACTTCTGGGAGGGGGCTGCAGCATGGGGTGACAGGTGGCAGGGCTGTCCCCACCCCTCCCCCTTGCCCTGTTATTCTTGACAAGCAATTTGCTAGTTCATTATAAAGATCCTTCTTACAAGAGGGAAAATCTCAACGTTTATCTTAAATTAAAAATGGTTATTTTCAGCCCCTGAATCATTTTTGTTGCTATACTGAGGGAGAGGATATGACTGTTAGTATATCAACAGTCAGCCATCCTAGCCTGGCTTTTGTCCTTTTATCATCAGTTCTCGAAGAAAAATGTCCCATCCAAATTTCAGAAGCAAACCAAATGAATTGGGTTGTGAGGAAGGTGAAGAGTTGTAAGGCAAGTATCTTGTCTAATGTTATCCACAAACATTTTATGAGTGCTCGGAGTTAATTAACAGATGCTGATTGATTCCAAAGAAGCTACAATAATCTGTGTGGTGGGAACATGTATTGCTGCTGCAACCTAAAGTGAATGCAGTAGTTTACATATGTGTAATATAATGCTGATGAAGGTATATACAACCATTAGCTAAAGCACATTCAGATTGTATCTCCCTTCCCATGGGAGCACAATGATGCCTTGATACTCCTGGTTATATAATGACTTGCTGTTCTGTACTCTACCTGGATTACTTGAAGCTGAGCTGCAACCTTCTGTGTAGACTCTACAGTGCAGAGACACCCTGGGACCTGATCTGAGCTATCATTCTCTTATCACCCAGTCTGTCTGTACATGAGTCATAAGGAGTAGCAGACAACATCTGAAACTCACAAGACATCCTCCACTGTAGGTTTTGGATTCCTTCATCCATTTCTACATTCTCTTTTGTGCTGTTGAAGATAGCAGAGCATGCTGTATTAGAATTAGGAATGATATATTAGAATTAAGAATTTCCTCCTTGATTTAGGATGCTATAAATGGTATTCCCACCAGAAGAGTCTCACACATTTCCCTTGAGCTATGGCTTAAATCCTTGTTTGTATTTATTTTTTGAGTCTTCTTATTCAATGTGACTGCTCCACAGTGTTCTTATTTTACTTTACTTTGTTGGGTGTTTTAGTCCCTCTTGAAGCTTTGGACCCACATATTTCCGGTGATGTCTGTAGAAAGGACTGAAAAAGCAAAAGTCTGTGACTCACTTAGCAATAACAGTTTATCTGGGATATAATTGGTTTATTTCCCCTAAACTGGGGCAACATTTTCCCAGTCTCTCACTTTCCCTTGGCTAGTAAACTAAAGCATTAACCTAAAGCTGGCTCCTCCTTTTCCAGGCAGAGTAGGAGAAGGATGACTCTGAAGCTGGAGTCCCTCTTCTTGACCAGAAGAATGAGTATCTGACGTGCAGACACCTTAGCGCCCCTGGGTACTGCTCTCCTGCATCTTTTTGAAAACATGTCCTTGCTGAGCAGATTGTCTATGTTTATGGCTGGCAGAGTAACTCAATAACCTTATACAAATGTCAAGGTGGACGTTACCTTTTGGTCTCATAGTCATTTTTGTTATCAATTCGTCCCTTCGTCCTCATGATGCAGGACATCTTTTCCAGCAGCAAACGGTTGTCTCTTTCGATGAGTGAAAGTCGCTCCTCCTCAAGCTTTATGTACAGAAGAGGCAGAGAAATGTTTGGTTTTTCTTATGGCCTTGTGTAAGCAGCAGTGATGCGCTATGTATATCTACCAAGGAGCTGCTGCAACTCCTGTTGCTTTGCCTAAAGACAGTCACATACTCCAGTTAGAGTAAGGATTCACCTTGGTGCACACGTGCTGAAGAAGATCTTGCAAAATTATTAATTTAGGGCTTCGGTAGTAAATAGGGCTTTAAGTGGGACTCTTTGGAAGGGGGCAAATTTCACCCTGAAACAGAAACTCTTTCTTATAACCAGGAGAGTTATGCAGTTTGCACCACTTGGCAAATGCATTAATAGGTGTACAACAAAAATCTTTATGTTTGGTCAATAGGAGATTGGGTGTTTTTCAGGCACCTTATTACTAGTTAGTTCCGGTGGCCATCATAGGCTCCAGTCAAAATCCAGGACTCCATTGTGCTGGACTCTGCACGAACAGTGGAGACTGAGCTAAAATCCAATGAAAGCCTGTCAGTTGGATCTAGAGAACTACAGTAACAGGCCATCCCTGTCCTGGAGATTTTAGATGAGAAGCAACAACTGGATGTGATGAAAAAATGGATGGAGCTGCAGAGGGGGCAAGTGGGATAGGCATGTGTGGCTACATAAACTAGTTACTTACACTCTCAGTTAGCTAGTTTAGGATAATTTTTAAGATTGCTTTTAAGTTATAACTGTAGAATGTTAATATATGTAACCTCAGTTTAACACAGACTAACTTGTGGAATGTGAAGGTGATGACAGCAGGTTATGAACCTAAAGAAGAGAATAAGCTGGAAGATGAAGATCTTATAGGAAATTGCCAGAGCTAGCCAGATTTGGGAGGAATATTATTTGAGCATCTGCCATTTGGGGAAATTTAATTCATTCCAAAAGAACCAAAAAATGTGCTCTGTAGAAGTATATGTCCATGGCCCAAAGATGCTACCTCTAGCAGGGGTGAATTAAAAATAGTCAGAGATGGAGTGGCAGGGAAATCCATCACTCTCTCAGAGCTTAATTCTTACACAATACTATCAGGAGCCCCCACTGGAGCATCAATGAGAAACATATTCTGTACATGCCTGTTCATTCCCTGACTTTTTGTTTTGTTAGTAGATCCTAGCACTTCAACATGCCTTATATGAAAGATTGCCTCCTGTTGCTCTGATAATCTTCAATAGCTAATGCTATAAGGAAGTGACTGCAGGGGCACTTCGTTTGTCTTTTGTGTTTGCCTGGCTTCTTAACAGGGTAAATATAGGTTATATTGCATTATAGATGTACCTAAAAATGGTGCTGTTAAGTAATCCCATTGAGCTCTAGAAGCCCGGAGGAGTAGTGAGTACAAAGGAACCCGATGAAGGGAAGATAAGCTTCACTGAAACATTAGAGACCTTCTCACTATGGGTGCTTGTACATGTGATGAAAAGTGGCCATTTTTGTGGTTTAATTGCATCACACTGTACACATGCAGATTTAAATGAGTTTGATACATTACAAACATTCTAGTTTAGTTTGCAACGTAGCTGTTTGTAATGGTGCAGCCTTTTGACAGCTCACCCTCCTCCGCTGAGGGGGACCCAGTCCTTCCCTCCACAGTGGCAGCACCCCCTGGGGTCGCCTGGGCAGGGTGCTAGCTGCATGGGTGCTGCCCCAGCTTGCAGGCAGCACCTGCCAGATCCAACCATTCCCCGAGCCTGCCCAGGGAACAGCACCCGGCAGGCTTCCAGCACACCAGCTTAGGGAAGAGTTGGATCCAGCGGTTGCTGCCTGCTAGCTGCAGCAGCACCTCCGCAGCTAGTAGCCCACCCGGGTGGTGCTGCCATTGTGGAGAGAAGGACCGGGCCCCACTGCAGCTCAGGGGCTGCACAGCCTGAAAGCAGCTCGTTCAGGCAGGTTTCACCGGGGAAAAAAAGTAGCAGTGAAGGGCCTGGTCCTACCCCCGCATGGAGCCTGTCAGGGGGGGCACCAGCCCTGCTGACAGCATCAGTGTTGGCCGTCAGGAGGGGGGCACGTGCACCTCTGTGCACCCCTTACCAGTCGCTTATGCTTCCCTCTGTGGCAGCAGCATCCCTCAGGGCCACCCGGGTAGGCGGATGCTGCCCCAGCTTGGAGGCAGCACCCAGCCTGATCCAACTGTTCCCTGAGCCCAAGCTGCGGCAGCACCCATCCACTAGCAGCCCACCCAGGTGGCCCAGGAGGGCACTTCCAATACAGAAGGAAGGACCAGGCCCCCCCACAGCTCAGGGGCCACCGGCAGCATGCCTCTCAGCTGTGGGAGACACAGGCAGGCTCCACAAAAAAAAGAAAAAGATTGCGCCCCTCGCCATAACAGTGACAGAAAACCCTAAATTGAAACAGTGGGTTTTTAACAATTAAAAACCCACTGTTTCAATTTAGGGAACTAAACCCCCATCATGTATACAAGTGCCCTATGTTTACATAACACCTCTCGAAAAACTGGTAATGCAGATCAACAGGAAACATAGTGCGACCCTAAAGGATACTCCTAGAAGTTGGGCTCAGGTGAGAGGGGTGTTATTGTTTTGTTTTTTACCTGTGTGGGTTCTTTCCCCCTATTTATTTCCCTTCAAAGGTATATGCTTTTTTACTTTTACAGTAAAGGAAAAATGCTAGACAGCAATCAGCACTAATGTCAAGTCTATAATAGCATATAAGCCTGCGTGCATCATGGAGAAAGTCGTTCTTTTGATAGTGAGACAATCTCAAGTTCTTTGGATAGTGTTGAAATGTATGAGGCATTACAAGATTTTTCAGAGGCTGAATCTTGAAGCTTTCACCTGGAGGATAATCCCATTGCCTAAGAGAGATTATATAAAAAGGTTGACAAAAATACCAATTATTTTTTCCCCGCTGTCTTTTTTTTTTTTTTTAATTAAAGATAAAATATTTTGAAGGACAGTTGCCAATCCGCGTTGTTATATATATGTGGATGGCTACATGTTGTGGTGTTTGTGTAATTTCACTGTGCGTGTGTCTTCGTGGTTGTGGGTTTTCACAATGACTGAAATTGTGTATGTGGGTATGTGGGGAAGAGTCCCTCTGTGCAACCCCTAAAACAGAATCCGTGGGCTCTGGATTTGGCAATTTGAAGGAATGTGTGGCATCAGTCAGAAAATGAGGGCTTATTTGATGTGAGATTGGGAAGGCAGTATCCAGGGGGCCAGCTATGCAGAGCACAGAAGGGACAAGGAATGGGACTAAAGCTTTGACCGTTTGCTCCCTCATCTGTATTGCTATGCCCAGCTTTCTTTGGATTGGTGGGAGAGAGACACTGTGACATAGTTTTATGTGTTCCAGTTTAATTAAGTGATGATAACCAACAGGATACCTTCAGCTTCTTCAACTTCAAGTGCAGATGGCCATATGTGGGAGGAGTAGAAGTGTCCACTATCGCTTTGGCTGTCTGGATCTGCAGTAGGAAAGACTTTGTTATTCATTTTTTGTTGAAAGTAAAATTCTCACCAGTTCTCATGGGCATCATTTACATTTAGTCCTTTATATTGTCAGCAGTATTGTAATTTGGGACATTATCCTCCTTATCAGCAACACTGAGCCTGTGTAAGCAGAGGTAGTGGAAAGAGAGCATATTAAGGACATTTGTATCAGAGGTGGAGAACCAATCTTTCTTTCTCTCAGAGACGCCAAAAACAAAACAAAATGTGAGGCCAGATGACTCATAGTGTTGGGGTGAGGGCACAGGAGGGCAATGGGAAGGCAGCTTGTACCTCTACTTGGCAGGGGCTGTTGGGTCTTGTTGAGCTCACTGTACAGGCTCCTGAGCTTGCATCCTTATAGCAGTAGATACCCAGGGCTGTTACAAGAGAACAGAACTGCTGGAACCCAAGAAAACCCTAACTACATCCCTACCTGTCTGCATTAGTATCTCCTAGGGGAGTCAATTTACATTTAAGGAGAGCTCTGCAATGCTTTGCCATGGGATTCTTTTGCTGCAAGTAACCCCCAGTGCTGCTCTTCAGCAGCAAGGCCTTATAATGCCATTCTCTGATGCTAAACTGCTGGTACAATCACTGGTGGAGCTTGATTTGCACCAAATTTAGAGGCAAAGTAAATATCTTCTTCCTTCTGACACTTTGCAGGAATATTGAGATTAGGGCTGACAGGGAGAGATCACTGACAGTGATTCACCGTGCACAGTAGTTCATATGAATCCTCTTGGGTCAGAGAGACCCGGGAGGGTATGGAGTAAAAAGTCAGGGGGGGCAGAATGTAATACATTTTTCTTCTGTATCACATATAAATCATGTTTCAGCTGTGCCCTTCCTGGCTGACTCAGCCTCTTAGAAGTTGTTCACCCCTGTGCTATATAAAGAAAAGTAAAATATTTACACAGGAAGAAAAAGGGGCTGTCAAGTCAATGCAAATTTTATAGCAACAGGGCAAAAAAGCTGCATTGCAAGTAGAAGGTTCAAAGCTTCACTTGCAGCCCACATATAGCCCTCCAAAGCTCCTGAGGTAGCCTGGCACAGTGAAGAGCTTGTTATGTGGCAGGGACCAACCCTGATTCTCTGATACCTGGACGACTGAGAAATCCCCCAAGTCTGGCCCTTGGCTTCAAAATGTGTTGCTAATTGGAGTGGTGTTTGGAGCTGCAGTACTAGAGTTAGAATTATGCTGTTGATTTGTTTCTGTTAGAGTTTTTAAATACAGAGCTTGATTTGGTGAGATACTGAATACTCATTGATTTCAGGAGAAGTTGAGGGTGACATCAGTATCACAAGATTGGGCCTTAATGAATGGAAACAGTCTACTAAATAGCAGAGCTGGACTTGCAGCATCCCCCAAGATTTGACTGTTTTTGTCTGTCATCGCTGTTCTGTCCTCAGCTGTGTCCTGCTGTTCTTCATGATCTAAGTAGTTATCAAATGCAAGTGACTTTTGAATTCAAGCAAATGGTCTTACTGCCAGTCCTTGGCTGTATTGATAAGAAGCGATTTGGTTGTCTGCATACTGTCTCCCTCTACATGTTACATTTATACTTTAATGAATGTGTTATGTTATACTTGCAGCATAGGCTGGTTTGTATAGTTTGTTAAATTGAACATGTAGCAGGTCCGGCTGTCACCTTTCCAGTGCAGGGGGAGCCCAAGGTCATGATAATGATCCTGGAGTGCCCCTGCACTGGCAAGTAGAAAGGGTGCAATTGGGATGTGATCCCTGATCCCAAAATCATGCCTCCTGCCATGAATGTGTGGCATGGCAGGAGGTGTGACTGTTGGGATCAGAACCCATGGTGCCTTTAAATGAACATGTGCCAGGGGCTTCAGTGTGCACAAAATACCTGTCATAACCATCAGCTTTTATAGACAGGACAAGGAGTGAATAAGCCTGATGACCAAATTGCTGAGGGGAGCAGCCAGTCCAAGTACAAAGGGTCCAGAACCAAGTGCCAGAAGCTGTCAGTTCTGTTACTGGTTCCACCACTGATAATATGATTTGGGAAAGATGCTATTTATATTCCCTAGTTTCTCCATGTGTAAAGTGGGATAATGGCACTTACTTGCTCATTTAAAGTACTTGTCTAGCAACTTGCCATGAAGAATTTCAAGCTTAAAGTATTACTAACCATTCCCTTCTCATCCCACAAAATGATCTTTGTAAATCTCAGAAAGGAGGCTATGCAGAAGCAGTGTGGACTGCTCTTGCTTTTTTTAGATTTTATTTTCTCATGCTGTCAGGCCAGCATTTTTCACGATCATTAAATTTACAACAGGTTTAAAGCAACCTTACACTATAAAACACTCATGTGTTTATAGCCCGCTAGAAAAATCAGTTGTTGCTATACCAGTTAGTTTAGGAGTTTTGGCTTCAACTGAATAGAATAACAAAGCATGACAACTAAACAAATTGTGGTTTTAGCTTATTAATCTGAAAACTGTTGTCAAAATGTAAAGCACCCATTGTTTAATTTAGAAATGGGGTATTGATACTGTCATCTCTTCTCTGTGGATTGTATCAATATAATTAGTTATCCCAGGTCACAAGGTATATAATGGTGCTCATATCCTTTGGAGTTGGAAGTTTTAAAGAGACCTATTTATCTCCTCACTCTTCATCTCTCTGTTGGGAAAGTAGTAACTACTCATGAGTTGGGTTTTTTCATAATACAAAGGAAGATGGTGGTGGAGGTAAAAATATCTCTTGAGCTTATCAGTTGCCAAAAGTCATTTTATGCCTCTCTCAAACTGAGTAAGTAAGGAAGTAAAATCTAAATTTTCCAACCCCTTCCTGGTCTGTGTGGTTACCTCGTTGTTATGACTCTGTGTGTATATGCTACTCTACTATTCAAGCTCCAACAAAATGTTTAGTTCAGTGCAGGCTGTTGCAGAGGAGAGATGCACCAATTGTGTAGTCTCATGCAACCTTACTTTAATATGTTCTTATTTGGTTGTTCTTTTAATCTAGGGGTGAGTAGGGACAAGCAGAGCCTCGGAGGGTTCAGGGCAAGGCACAGTCCAGCAGCTGCAGGCAGCTGTGATCGGCCACTCCCAGGGCCACTGCAACAGAGGTTGGGGTGAGTGGGGACAAGCTGCGAAGCGTCCCACACCCCCCCGGGGCTCCACTTGTTCCCACTTACCCTAGCCCCTGCTGCAACAGCCCCAGGAACAGCCAATGTCAGCTGCGGAGGGAATTGTAAATCAGTGGGTGCGGGGCACGGGGGCATGGCTCTTGGTGCTATGTGCACCCCATGAGGTCTGTTCCCAGGGGGCGCATGCCCCCGGATCTGCGTGCCAGACAAGAGCAAGCTGCGACCTACCCCAAACTCTGGGAAGAACCCAGTGCTGCCACCGGCCCCAGCCTGCAGAGGCAGCCTGCTCTTGTCCTGTGTGCAGATCCAGGAGCATGCGCCCCCTGGGAAGAGCCCAGCGCAGTCCCCCAGCCCACAGCCCTCCTGGGGTGCATGTAGCTGCAAATGCCATGCCCCCACTGCCCTGCACTCACTGACAGTTCCCTCCACTTTGCTCCCTGCAGCAGCCCCAGGAGCGACTGACAGGCTGCACTGCGCCCCTCCCTCCACCCCTTCCTTAGTCCCACTCCTTCCCTTCCTCACTTCCACAGGAATGTATTATTCTTTTCCCCAATTTAAACCATTTTTTTTCTTTTCTTCCTTTTATCTTGATTTCAACCTGGCTTTTATGTTTGGAAATTAAACCCTGAAAAATTCCCAGACTTTTTTTTTTTTTAATAAAAACTGAAAATGCGCAACACTAAGAATCAGGAAGTAGCCAGCTCCCTGGTAGGCCCCAGCACCCCCTCAGAGTGTAAGCACAGCGGCTGGGCCACAGACTGGCTACAAATCACTTGAACACTTCTTATTTTAGTTCTGTTATCTGTTACATGTGGATAATGATACTTAATATATTAAGTGAGGTGGTGAGACCGAATTCCTTAATGTCTCTGTAGTGTTTTGAGGTCTTTGGATGTAAAGTAGTATAGTGGCTTACGTTTTAGCTATCAGAGGGCATGTGCACACGAGATGCTAACTGCAAGGTAGCCAAATAATACTACATAGTAGCATGTCACAGCACAAGCAGCGCTAATACACTACTGCACAGTATTATTAGGCTACTGTGCAGTAGCATCACTAAAAATGTGTTTGCCAGAGCTACTGCACAGTAGTTACTGTGCATTTATTTAGTACTTGATTATACACAGTAACTACATTATACAAGTACTAAATAAATGCACAGTATTGTCATTTGGGACATTATTATCCTTTTTATCAGCAACACTGGGCCTACGTAGGCAGAGGTAGTGGAAAGAGAGTATATTAATAGCACAGTAGTTACTGTGCATTTATTTAGTACTTGTATAATCACAAGTGCAGTAACCACTGTACAGTAGTGTCTCGTGTAGATGTGCCCAGAGACTAGTCAATTTTTGGCCAGTAGTCAACTGATATGAATTTGAAATTAAATTCCTAATCCATTGAACCATCCACTTCCAGACATTATGTTTCCATTAAATGACTTCTGAGCTGAGATGTTATCATTCGAGTTTAATTCTAAAGCAGCTTTTTTATAGCTAAATTATAAGTCTTTGACTATGGAAGTTAACACTACAGATACATTTCTAGCCTACACAGCATTCAAATATCAAATTAGTTCTTAGGCTTAACCTTTGAATGCCATAGGCTAGATAGGAAGTGTGCTATACTCTAAGAGATTATTGTAGAGCCACAATGGATGTTGACTGTCACCCACTTCTGGATCAGTCTCCTGATATAAAAATTAATAGCATTAGTGAGACATAACAACAGAGCTCTCAACCTCTCACAAGAGATCAATTTTCACTAAGGAAAAAAAAGGGATCTTGTATTCTGGTTAGAGATAGGATGCTGCTTGTAATTTTATTTTTCATGTTTAAATTCACTCCTCCTGTGTTAGGTGAGGAGGAAAGTAAACAGAAAAAAATAGTTTCTATATGGTAAATGAAACAGAGCATGTCTGTAAATAATTAAGAAATATTTCCTCACAAGTAAGTCTGCAATACTTAGATGTCAACTTCCTAAGGTAGCAACATAGTAGAAGCACTGGAGTTATTTAGGCTTGCATTAAATAAAGTATTGAGGAATTTTCTGATGAGAACAATCCTGCTTTTTCATTGGGATAGACTGAGTGACTGAACAGACCTTTTCCATCTCTAAATTTTATGGATGTCAGACTTAAAACTGGTGGCAAAAGATTACAATCTCCAGGTGCATACCATTCTTTTAAAGTCTCATTTGTCTGACAGTTTACTGCCGGTTGTTAGCGTATACCTTCCTACTAATGTTAATGCAAAAATTCTTATGCATTATTTAACAGATTTGGTAAAGCCTGTTCTCTCACTCTATCACAGAATTGTACCTACCCTCTTCTTGTGGTCTTCATAGTTTGCTCTGTCCCATTTTTGCTGAAGATATTTGTTGCCACATGGTAAAATTGACTGGTAGGCTCGGTGCATCTTAAACACCATAAAACATCTCTGAATCTGTGGCTCATAAAAAGAATGACTAATATCAGTCTGAGCCTTCTTAAGCAAAGCCCTGGAGACTGGTATGTTTGTAGCAGGTCATGTGGTGGTTGTCATGGCATCACTACCAAGAAAAAAAACTGAATAGCTAGTGGGAGTGTTTTAAACAATCTGTTTAGAATAGGAAAGGAGCTGAACATCTTAGCAAAAGATTCTGAGGGTATTGTCTCCATTTATTACAGAGCTTGATCATTACAATTCACTGGCCATTCTTGACTTCCCACTGATTGGGAAAGACAGTGGATCGATAAGCAATTACTAACACTTCATATAGCACCATAGATACATATGGATCTGTACATTGGATAACACTTTCCAAGTTTTAAAGTCCTGTCTCAATGCAGCACAAAGCAAACTCACAATCTGGGATGTAGCCTTTACAGCTGCAATAACTCGTTTGAAATATTTCTTCACTAGCCAGTATGTGCTTCTCAAAAGTCACAACAAATATATGTTAATACCAAGGACACTCCTTCAGAGAGATAGATCGCACGTTTGAAAGAGCCACCCGGATACCACGTGAAGAACTGCTGCAGTACAGAAGAAAACACCCCACAAATCGCACACCGCTGGTTATGACATATCACCCCTCCCTTGAACCTGTACGAAAAATCCTCAAACAATTGCAACCCATACTAGACAGAGACCCTATTCTTAAAAAGATCTTCCCAGAGCCACCCATCCTAGCCTTCAAACAAGCACCGAACCTCGCTAACCTCATCACCAGAAGCAAACTTCCTCAAGCCCAGAACACACCAAAAGGATCCAGACGATGCCATGACAAGAAATGCAAAACCTGCCAACACATCTCCACCACCCCCACTATTACTACACCCCACAACAGAGCCATCAGCATCCCAGGATCTTACAGCTGCACCTCCAGAAATGTAATATGCCTCATCCAATGCACCAAATGCCCTGATGGAAAATACGTAGGAGAGACCAAACAACAACTGCGCACCAGAATGAGCGCACACCGGAAATCTATCAAAGACAGAAATACCCAGTTACCTGTGGGGGCACATTTCTCACAAGAAAACCACTCTCTCTCCAATCTCTCAGTCCTGATCCTCAAAGGAAACCTACAAAACACTTCCCAGACCTGTCTTTGATAGATTTCCAGTGTGCATTCATTCTAGCGCAGAGTTGTTGTTTGGTCTCAAAGGAAACTTCCGCCTGTCTCTCATCCATTGACTCCTCAATCTACATTTTCACTGACTACCTGTCTTGTATGCATACCAGCCCAGCCGCTGGCTTCTTTACTTTTCATTCCATCCAGGAAGAGCACACACCAACTGCTGAAACTTCCTGAGCCTGACGAAGGGTTTTTGAACCCGAAAGCTTGCTTAATAATTATTTTCCAACTATTTGGGTTGGTCTAATAAAAGATATCAGATTCACCCAAGGAAACTTGTCTGTTAATACCAACATACTTCTACTTGCTAATAGTCCAATTACCTCTGTTTATCTAGTCGTTGAGGTACAGGGAACTCGCAGGGATTTGCACAAGCCAAGTGGTAAAAGAGGTAGCATCCTATGAAAAAGAAGCTTTGCTTTGATTCATTTGTAGCTTTTTATCTTGTGCAGGTCTCCTGAAAAATGTAATTTGATGATTCAAATTGAAGTATAAGCATCCAAGTTACCATTTTGTAGCAGGGATTTAGGAGGGGTGGCAAATATCCAGAGTCCCTATTTTGTCTTCAAAATGAATCTCTAATTTGCAGTATATCACAAAAAACTACCTTGCTTTCACCCACATCCTTTCTCTGGTGCAGTGGACAGGAAATGGTTACATTTGCTAAAGAGATGAGAGAGAAATGTTTCCTCAGGCCCAGACAAAAATGCTAGGGCTGGTTCTGCATGTTAAAACTGTCAGCCCACGCTGAGGCTGAAACTTCTCTGGTGCTGTTTGCTTAGGGCTCAATTCTGTATGGTGCTTAGCATCCCCAATCCAACACATTACTTAAGCAAATAATTAACATTAGGCATATGGGTATTCAGTGGAGTCTAATATGTTCTGTGTGTAATTCCTGTCTCATTTAACTTGTCTAACTGGCACATAACATATATATCTATAGATATACATACAGATATCTACAAAATCTTGCTTGGAGCCAGAACAAGAATTTTTAACTGTTTTGGCATCACAATGCGTGGATGCAGCCTTGCATTCTCTGACAACCAGTTCAAGGATCTAAGGAGTGTTAGGTTGGCCCCCTGGAAATTTCCAGTATTTTTCTTTAAATGTATATGGAATATATCTGTGCATTTAATAAAGCATATAAAGTTAAAAGAAATCCTTTAATTTAGTTATGCTAAGTTCTATGTTTGTGTAATATTTAATGAAAATTAGGAGTAATGTTATAATAGTGCAGGGGATGCTCAAAAGGGTTGCCAGCCCTCCAGGATTGCTCTGGAGTCTCCAGGAACTAGATATAAATCTCCAGGAGACTGCTGAGAGTCATCCAGAAGATAAATGATAGAGTATTCATTAAAATAAATATTAAATGTTGAATCCAAACTATACAGTAGCCCAGTGGGTTTTTAAAATGTAATACTATGTACATTTGCCTTCTTGAGTACAGTGCAGTAGATCAGTCATTAATGTAATTACATCATAAGATGACACCTCCCAGAACAGATTCAGAGTTGGCAACCCTAGTGCTCAACCCCTGGCTTGACGACCAGATCCAACCGCCAATGCCGTGTCCTGTAGCCAGCAGGGCTCCCTGCCAGTTTGTGGGGAGCCCCATAGGCTGTGGTCCTGAGTGCTATATCTGGCACACTTGATGGCACAGGGCCTGAGCCTGGCATGTGGGGCCGGGCAGAAGTGGTGCAGGGCCCCAGGGCCCCAATCCCAGTGCATGGAGCCTGGCGGGGTTAGTGTAAGCTCTGGAACCCAACCTCCACACATGGGGCTGAGCGGAGGTGGTGTGGCACCCTGAAGCCTGGATCCCAGACTGCAGAGCCTGGCAGAGACAGTGCAGGGTTGCAAGCCCTGATCCTGGCATTTAGGTCCAGGTAGAGGCAGCTCAGCTAGGCCCCATTCCCAGCATATGTGCTGGGTCGGGGTGGTGCAGGGTCACAAGGCATGCAGAGGCAATCTTGGCATGCAGGGCTGGGCAGGATCCAGATCTATATGCGTGGTCCATATCCAGATGTGTGGGGAGTGGAGTCCAGTCCAGCCCACAGACCAGCCCTGTGCCACTCATTTGGCCCGCTGCAATAGAGTGTTGTTGTCAAAAAAGCAAAAATATTTAGAGGTGCACCGATATCAGATTGGCACCTATATAAAGAAAATTGACTATATCAGAAATCGGCCTGATGTGGCTGATAATTTGGCTGATAAATGCCTGTTCATGTGTGCAGCTGCAGTGCAGCACATAGGTGGCGAGGAGCGGAGCCTGGCAGCTTGGAGAGCTGCATGCAGGTAGTAAGTCTGCTGTGGTGGATGGGGAAGGGATGGGGTGTGGGGAGGAAGGAGTGGGACTGGGGCAGGCGCTGCCCAGCAGGGGTGGGGCGGGCATGGGATAGAACTGCGGCTCATCTGGGAGGTGCAGGGTTGGGGGTGGCTCCCACTGCTGCGTGCATATGGGGAGGGCACATGGGGGGTGTGCCCCCGGATCTGCATGGGGTGGGGTGGGGCAGGCTTCAGCTGTGGGCTGGGGCCAGGGGCTGAGCTTTAGCTGTGGGCTGAGCTGTGTTGAGCTCAGGGCAGGCAGTGGCAGGGCTTGAAGGGGGCTATGGTGGGGGGTGCAGCCACCCCAAATTTTACCATAGCCCCCCCATAATCCCCCTCCCAGTACTGCCACTTCCCACCCGAGTGCAGCACAACCCAGGCCCCTCCCCCATGCACCAGGAAGAGCTCAGCACCACTCCCAGCCCACAGCTGTAGCCCACCCCACTCCACCTCACTGTGCCCTGCACAGATTCGGGGGTACATGCCCTCCCCCCCCATGCTCTCCTGGGGTGCATACAGTGGTGGGAGCCACCCCCTCCTCCCCATGCCCCCCAGATGAACTGTGGCTCTTTCACACACCTGTCCCACCCTGGCTGGGTAGCCCCTGCCCCAGACCCTGCCCCACTCCCTCCCTCACGATGGGGGGCATTTATCTGCCCCCACACCTCTTCCCTCCCCCCTCCCTGTCCACCACAACAGACTTACCAGCTGGATGCAGCTGTATCAGAAATCAGATGAGTATCGGCCAGTATGCCTTCTTAAAAATTGGCTATCGGTATCAGCCCCCAGAATCTATTGGTGCACCCCTAAAAATATTTTGATGTAGTCTGATTTGTTCTTGGTGTATTTTACATAAGTTATCTTAAGTGCTGGACCTGTCATGATCTCTTAAGAACTGATCCAAAGTCCATACGTTTCAGATGGAATCTTTGGAAGATGACAGAACAAGGAGAAATAGTTTCAAGCTAAAGCAAGGGAAGTTTAGGTTAGATATTAGGAAAAACTTTCTCACTAGGAGAGTAGTAAAACACTGTAACAGGTTACCCATAAAGGTTGTGGAATCTCCATTCTTGGAATTTTTTAAGACCTGGACAGGCTTGGCTAGGATGATCTAGGTGGGAATGGTCCAGGTTTGAGCAGGTGGTTGTACTAGATGACCTCCTCAGGTCTCTTCCAACCCTAATTTTGTATGATTCTGTGATTCTTTCCTTTGATTTTGGGTTTTGCATCAGCCCTTGAGAATGGGAAGGAAATGGAAGCAGCCCGTTCTAATTGACCATTGAGAACCTGAGTTTGTACAGTCTGATAATTTGCTCTCCCTGTATTAGGCTCTGCAAAGGAGGAGATGTAGCATTATTCCACCTCCATGGTTCCTCCCCTCCCTAGCAGTATGGGCCCTTTCAGCTCTTGGTCCTGTCCCCCATTACAAGAAAGTGGAGCACCTTAATACCCAGCTACTTATGACCACACAAGCCTGTTCCAGCAGTTGAGGGTTGCTTGGACATTTCCTAGTCCCACCATTTGCCAGGCATACACCTTCTGTCCTGAGGGGTAGGAGGA